TGATATTAGTGTCTCATAAATATGACCTATTGAAGCTCCAGTGTTAGAGGTGAAAATGAGTTTTCTTGATTTGCACATCTGGATACTTCAACATCCATATAGTCACTGCAGCTGGGTCACTCCCAGGTTAAAGACCTCACTTTTATTTCCAAGATTGGGTTGTTTCCCAGCAGAAGGAGACTGTGCCTGTCTTTCTCCTTGAAACTGCTGTGGATTCAGCCGGCTTGAAACTGCCTTTCAATTAGCATATGGGATGAACAAAGGGCCAGGGGGCTATCTACATGATAAAAACTTACAATGGGGTTGGTAAATGACCATTCTTAGTGTTACCAGTTCTGTTTTCTAACCTGTGGGGATATGTTGACTAAGGCTTTCTTGGGACAAGCTGCATGTACAAGGCAAAATCTTGACCTCTCTGTTCCTTTTACATTTGATAAGAAATGGAATTTCTTTAGAGCAGCCTCCCCAAACCAAACCTGCTGCTCTTCGTTCAAGTTCGTGTAACCCTCTGTTGGATTCCTTAGGCTGTAAATCTTTCTGAATGAAACAGTCAATCCCCCCCCCCCCAAAAAAAAAACCCAGCAAATGGTTTTGAACCCTTGACCAACTGGCTAGCAACCTAATACCTAATGCACAACTCCACCAGAGCTGCTTTTCCAGCAGCAGGAGCAGGGGTTTAGGCTAAACTGCGAGTTGTTTGAAAATGTGGGCTCAGTTTTAGGTCCTGGGCAGCTACCGTAATCATGTCAAATGCCTCAGTTTTAGAGTGCATGTCCTCAAATTCAAACAAAAGTAAAAAGTTCATAGAGTGGTATCCTTCTACATGAGAAATTCCCAAGGGATTAATATGCTTTTTCAAACTCAATAAAGTCCTAAGGACACGTGAACAAAATAATCCTTGTGTGTATGATTGCCTCTCATTTGTTTTTAAAGACACAGTAATATAGCTAAACTTTAGCATTAAATCACCTCTGTTCAAGGCTTGATTCTTCTTTACTAGTTGTGTGACTTTTGTGGAAGTTCATTAACTTTTCCAAATCTCAGGTTTTTTTTTTTATGGTAAGATGACAATAAGAGCATTGGCACATAGATTTATTGTATTTATTAGGATACTATTAATGCATATGTGCTGTTCAGAAGAATGTCTGGCAAGCAACAAATGCTGGCGAGGTTGTGGAGAAACTGGAACCCTGATTCACTGTTGGTGGGAGTGTAAAATGGTGCAACCCCTGTGGAAAGCAGTATGGC